TTAGAAACATCTTTAAAATCTAGGACATTATTTTATATAAATATGTTTAGAATAATTAATTTTGGCATAAAATAGGGGTTTAAGGGGTTTAGGACATGAAAAATACGAGTTTGGAGGAATTCCCGACGTCAAAATGTCCTAAACTGAAGAAAAGGTCCGAAAATGATGAAAATTCGGAGCTTAGAGGCGAAATCTGAAGTCCTTATGAAATTTCCGGAGCAAAGGAGTAAATTCCGAAGCAAACAGTGAAGTTCCAAAGCAAACAGGAACTTCTGGAAGGCTTTTCTCGGATTCCGAAGTCAGGAGCGGGTCAGCGGTCCGGACAGACCAGGTGCTTCCGAACCGAAGCGAGGTAAGAACTTCCGGAGCTGTGAACTTATCCGGATGAGAGGCTTCCGAGATGCAAGGTGATTCGGTACTAAGGCCTTCCGGAGCTTCTCACTTCCGGAGTTGCTTCAGAGGTTCCGAAGGTGTGCTTCCTCTTGGCTCCTTAGAAGGCATTCCAGACAAGAGGTTTAGGACCAAGAGGGTTCAGGACCAAGAGGATTCCGGACCAAGAGGGCCCTTTTGGGTTCTCTCCTCCGGTTTTAGGCTGTTTCCGACTGAGGAAGGTACGTAGAGAGATTTGGGAGAGATTTCACATACTTGGAGAGATTTGGGAGATATTTCACATATTTGGAGAGATTTGGGAGAGACTTCATATTCTTGGAGAGATTTGGGAGAGACTTCATATTCTTGGAGAGATTTGGGAGAGACTTCATATTCTTGGAGAGATTTGGGAGAGAGAGAGAGAGGGATATAGTGGGAGAGATTTAGGGAGATTTTGTCGGGAGCCTTTATTAATGTTTTTCTTCGTAGTGCTAGGTCCTTAGACTTTGTTACATTCTATTTTGAGTGTTACACACTCCTGAAGGGCACTTAATAGTACTTTATAGAGCTGATACTTCCCTCAATCAGATTAGGGCTTTAAGTTTGGAACATTTGAAACCTTCAGGTGTTACTTTGCATTAAGATTTAGAGTCATACATTAGCAACCATAAGTAAACCCTAACAAATAAGCACTAGATGAGTTGACCAGATGACCCGTTGACCTTGACTTGACATTGACTTGACCAGAAACTTGCCGGTTGTCACATGATTGATCTACTTACGGGAATGATGTCTAGGCTGTGATTTAGTGAGGTGTTTAAAGTGGGATTTCCAAACAGTATACTTCGTATAACAAACGGACCCTAACTCCGATATGATCCTACCTGGTTGTTCCTTGCTTGATAGATCATGAAAGTAGACTTTGAGTTAATGATGAATCTAGACTAATAATTAGTCGCAATGAATATTAGACTAAAATCTAGTGGTAGTGATACTAGGTTTCGTCGAAAGAAAATAAATTAATAGAAGTGAAGCGCTGTCTGAGTTCGGAATCACCACCTTAACAAGTGAGTGCATAGTTACTTTCATCTTACACATAGATATGAAGTATTTTATATAAATTACGTGCTATGTGTGTATACTGTTTGAATACTTGCTGTCTATGTTGGATGAAACGTTTTATACAAGTTTTAAATGATCTAAACTGTATATGTATTTTATATCTACAAAATATGTTGGGTAAAACATGGGTAGATTAGAGGTGAGATAAATGATGAGCGATGAAAGATGAGATAAATGATGAGCGATGAAAGATGAGATGAATGATGAGCGATGATATATGAGTGATAAAATATGGTGCGAAGCGATAACCTAAGCGATGAGCCAAAACGATGAGCCAAAGCGATGAGCCAAAACGATAAGCCAAAGCGATGAGCCAAAACGATGAGCCAAAACGATGAGCCAAACGATGACCCAGGCGATGGCCCCGTCATCTAGCAGAGTATGGATGACAACCACAGACTATTCTAGACAGTCTAGTGGAACACTAGCAGGCTCGCAACCTGTAGGTGTTGTGAACGATGTGTTCACCCGGTGTACTCTAAAAACCCATTGACAGGTATTACGAGTGGACTCTCGAAAACGATACTGTCAATAAATGAGATAAACTCTGGCGACTATGCAGATTTAGTGCCGATTCCTTAGGAATAAATGAACGATGAATAGCTGAATCTTAGGGTGGATCCTTTAGAGTAAAGAAGATAATGGGGATGAGTAATTGGGTTGATTGTTTGATGTTTAACATAATAATTATATTATTGTGGGTTGAAAACTCTATGTACTCACCAGGTTTCCCAACCTGACCCACTCAAGCTTATTTGTATCACAAGTGTCGATAATGTCGATATGAAGCTACTTTACACTGAGGGATTTAAAAGAGATGTAGATCACTAGTGTAAATGAATGTAAGTTCTGTTTATGCTTATGTTTCTGTATCTAGCAAATTTTAGTTTTTTACTCTGTTCATTTTTTCCACTTGAATTAGGGTTAGATCATTCATGTTATTCAATTTATGAAATTCATAAATGTTTTGTGAATTGATAATAAGTAACAAACATTGAGTTGGTTTTGTAATGGGATCAATGTCAATGTATTTGTATGTTTTAACGCTTCCGAGCTTGTGAGAAGTATTAGGCATTATTAAGAATGAAATATCCGCATAACACTTACTGCAATATGGCAATCTAAAATCTCAAAGCTTGTTTAGGGTGGGTTAGTAAGATTAACTTTATTTCAAAGATCTTCTTTTGGTTAAACATTTTGGTGAATGAAAGATATGAGAGCTTGCTAGTATCTTTAATACCAATTTAGATATAATTGAATTTAATGTCACTTTAAGGTTGATTGCATAATTCGATAAGTAAAACTTGCACCAAGATCTTTCCTAATTATGATTTTCATTTCGATTTACTTGCATGCTATTTATTTTTCAAGTTCTTTTAGACAAACAACTACCCCCTCCCCCCTTCCATTTTGTTCTTACAATGTTTTGTGCAAAAGGCATAACATTTAAACTTGTGTCTCTATAGATCGACGCGCTTATATTGTGCTAATGTGCTATGTTTTGGTGCAAAATAACAGAATTAAAAGATCTTATTTGTACCCACTTTATTTATTGGGCTTGAGACCCTAATATATACATAATGAAAATAATGCATCATATTTGTTGAAAAGCCCTGTGAGGATATGGTCCTCAAACTCCCCTAATGCCTAATGGACTAACATTAAGTCAAGAATTTGCAATTTAGGTTTATGTAATAGAAATAATTACTTATTTTTCAAGACTGTCATGCTATTTACTTATTATGTGGTCAACTTTTATTTTTATAAATCATATTCTTCGTTTAAAAAGATATAATATAACATACTTAAACAAATAAGTATGGAAAACAAACTAATTTCAATATATATATATATATATATATATATATATATATATATATATATATATATATATATATATATATATATATATATATAATGAAATACAATAATACACTCTAACACAATACACTTTCAAACATAAACGTAAACCCTGACCCCTAACGAAATAGGATACACTCTAAAACATAAATGTAAACCCAATAAATCTTGAACCCTAACAAAATAGAATACACTCTAATACATATACATAAACCCCGTAAATCCTAATAATTAAGCGATCGATCGTAAGTATGTTATATGTGCCTTTATAGTACACATTTACGTTATTCCATAGTAGCTCCCGTACGTCTAAAGTACAAGGAATTGAAAAAAGTACCATTTGACATGACACATTTTTAGATTTTTTCCTGGTAAACAACGACTTCTTTTTTATTCCTTCTTCGACTATTACTTGTTTGTGTCCCCACAACGGAACATATATATGATGTTAACTGAAGTACAAACGCTGAAAAGATGCATTTTAGACGCACAATAACATTTCCAAAATCCAAAAAAACATCGAAATCAAAGGAACATTTCCGAAATGGATGCATGGAATAGTACATTTTGGGGGCATACTATTAAAACAACCTTTTTAAAACCAATGCAGTATGACACGCATAGACACAATAAGGATTATACTTAAACGTTAAAACTCTTGAGTTTCGGACCCGAAAATCCAAAGAATACTATCATCATGCAGATTAACGTTACCAGCACTTAACAAAGACAGTATATTACAATATAATAGCATAACACATTGTCATTTCGGAGAAAAAAACCAACGAATCTAAACATTTATAGGGTAGGGGTTGAGAGCTGAGACTTTAGAGAGGTTATTAAAGGGAAAGGTGCAAATGGAAATGAAACCCACATTATATATTTTCCGAAATCATTCGGACTCAATGGTCATCTCTGTAATTGGCAAAAAATTGGGTCATACAATTATTCGTAGACATATATGTGAATTATCTCTATCTTTTTTCTTCATTTTTAAATAACTAAAATAAAAAAGTACTAAAAATCGATATGTAAACACAAGTGAATGGGAAAGTCAACAAGCAATTCGGAATTTCTACACTAGTTTTGTAGGTCAATTAATTCAAAGAAAGGTTCTTTGATAAGATTTGAGATTTCAAGTCCCAAAATCCCATTGCTGATCATGCTGTCATGCACATGCCAAACTTGCACATATGAAAATCCTCCCAATCTTAATTTTTATCATAAAAATAATAACAATAATAATTAAAGTTGAAATCACTAATATCTTCTTTCTCGTCGTCATCTTGAACATCAAAACCAAAAATAATAATAATAATTAACAATTTAAAAAAAAAGGACAAAAACCAAAATTTTAAACAAAAAGTAAAAAATATGATAAGACAAGAAGAAGAACATTAAAACTATATAAGATTTTTCAGGAGGGTAACCAATTATCCCAAATGATTTACATCATACCACAAATCCCGGTATAATTCCATTTAACAAAAAAAAAAAAAAAAAAAAAACCTCAAAAGGGAAAAAAATTATTATACCTACTTCTCTCTTCAGCAAAAAAAATTTAATAAATTAGAATTATCCCTTTATCACTAAGAGAACAAAATATTCAAAACCTACATCCAATCCCCACTCTCCAATTTCCCAAACCCCTACAACTCCATCTTCACCACCGATCTCGGAGAAGAATATTCCGGCGACCCATACTTCAACCAATCCTTAGCACAAATAAGCGCTTCAACTGTTGAAGGTCTTAACGAACTTCTATATCTATCCATCTTCCTACATCTCATATCAAACACCGATTCCTTTCCGACCGTAGACACCGGAATACACAAAATATCCGATGCCATTTTCGACAATGTCGGGTACTTTTTCCGGTTCAATTTCCACCACCCCAACACGTCGAATTCCTGCATCCGGGGTAACACCGATTCCTCCAAGTACTGATCCAATTCCGGTTTCATATTCCCATGACTCGTGATTCCGGAGATGTAAACTTCGAAATCCGAAAGCTCATCACTTGTCGATAAAAAAATCTCGTTTTCATCGACTTCGGTTTTCAAAATCTCGCAATGAAGTCTCGTTTCTTCTTCGAATCCTTCGTTTCCATTAACAACAAAAGTTGGAGGTGGAAGCATTTGAACAACATAATCAAGGAAAAGCTCGTAGACTCCATCATTCACTGTTTTGATCCAATCAGCAGCTGCGTATTCTCCATAGATTCTTGAGAAACTGAACTCCACAAGCTTCATTTTAAATCGAGGATCCATGACAACAGCAATTGAGAACACGAGAAACGAATCTTTCCAGTATCTATTGAATCTTTCATACATTGGTGTGATTAAACTTCTTACAAATAAATCATCACTCATTGTTCCATTTTTAAGCTCGAGTTGTAGCTTCCATACTTCATGAAAGAACGCGTTTGAAGTCGGATACGTGGGACCCGTTAAGATATTAGCAGCGTCGATCAAGAGTTTCAAGAAAGTACAGAGGATTTCGAGTTCTTTCCATTCGTTCATTGTGAGGGTAATTTGGTAATTTGGGTCGTAGGCGTCTAAACAAGAGAACACTTCTTTTAATTCACACGCAGCGATTAGCATATGATAAGTTGTGTTCCATTGATTTTGGTCATCAAGAACAAGAGATTTTGTGCTTGGGACTTGAAGTTTTAGTTTAAGACCATTAAATGTTTCTTGGGTACCCTCGAGTAAGACAACATACTTTACACTCTTGCGAACTTTTTTAACAGTTTCCGATAATGCCCCTAGGGAATCTTGAGCGAGTTGACACAACACACGCGCGTAACAGCTCCCAATCAAGAGTTTTCCATTAAGAATCAAAGGGTTTTTTTCGGAAAGTAAACGTTTCATATTCTTTCTCACCTCTTTGTTAGCAAAAGATTCATCAAGAGTTATAGCAAACAACTTGTTTTCAAGATTCCAATCGGAAATACACGAAAGAATCCCGTGGTTAAAAGCCGATTCCGATTCCGGGAATGGCAACAACACGATTCCGAGGATCCTTCGATGGAGTTTCCAATCATCATCAATGAATTGACCTGTTATGAAAGCATACCCTACACTTTGATCTGTTGACCACATATCTAACGAAAGGTTGACTCTTCCATTGACACTGTTTACAAGATTCAAAAGGGTTTCTTTTTCTCTCTTGTATAACTCTACACATTCTTTTTCGATACCATCAAGGGGTATTTTTGGGAATTGAGGTTGAAGGGCTCTTACAGAGTTTAAAAAGGCAGGGCATTCCACTATGGTAAGAGGGTATTCATGCATTATAATCATCTTGGCTATATCATGTCTGCATCGATTATGGTAAAAAGAGATGCTATTTGATGTGGTTTTATGGCGTTTTCTTGGAAGATCGTTGACTTCTTGACTTTCAGTAAGGGTGAGAGGGGTCAATGACAAGAGTTGACCATTTTGCTGATTGGTGCGGCCCACAGGGCAGATTCCCAATGCGATGTGGCGTTTGAGGTGGCTTGTGCCAGCTAACTTTGAGCCTGTGATATAAGAGAATACCTTTTTGCATTGCATACAACGGGCTTTTGTACATTCAGCATTAATGGTTTCTATTGTGAAGTGTTCCCAAACTATGGATTTCTTTCTTCTTCTTTTACTATTCATTTCTGCATCCGCATTTGGGGGTTCAGCATTGTTTGTAGGGTTAGCCATGTATATATAGTAAGCTCTGCAACATAGGAAAAGTATATATAATAATATATTATACGCATTCATGGGATCTATTAATGGGGAGACATGGAAAAGCGGAAATAATCTGAAAATAGAACAGGAAAGATAACATGATGAATGTTTAGATTGTTATGTTTTTTACTTGTGATTCTTTCTTTGTTTGCAAGATTGGTTTTTTTATTGTTTATTAGATAGAATATGTGTGTGATATGGCATAAGAGTTATGCACAAATATGTGAATTTTAAGTATCAATCACTACAGTTGATCCTACTGTAAAATCGTAAATGATCAGATAATCACTTAATTGACTGAATATAATCTTGAACCTAAAGCTTATCAGTTATCACTTAGAAGTAATAAGTAAATGCTTAAGTAGAGTTCAATTTGAAGTCTGGAAAAATCAACATTGACAAACCCCTAAAACATCAAAAGGAAGATTTTTCATTATGTGAATAGTAAGGGCACAATGGTTAGAGATGAATTCAGAACGATAGGCAAGGGCAAATTAAACAAAACTATTGACAGCAGGACAGACTGTTTGCAAATTTTATGATTAATTTGCTAATAGTACAACCCTGCACAGACAAGGACTGAAATGAAAGGTTTCTTCATGAAAGCATCAATCATGGAGGCAAAACAAGACAATGGGAACAACAATAGCACGAAAAGAAATATGCATATTCTGCAATCTGCGTAGATCAACAACCAGCAACCGAATAGGGCGAAAATCACACAACAAATCCTCCAGATACATGACATGATCAATGAAAATGAAAGAAAAAAAATGTAATTCACTTGTTATGTATGTAAAATTAAGCGATTTATGACGACTATACAACGAAAAGAAATATAAAATCAAGGAAGGCAACCAACATGTCGATCATGATCAAAACATGTCTCGATAACAAAACAATCCGTACACAGAAGCAATCATCCAAAGGGTTTAAGTTTTGACATTAGCATGCACGATTTTAGTCGAATAAAACTAACCGTTGAGGCGGCAGCGATCGATAAAAAGAGGTTAAACAGTCGCGCTTGAGAAATCTTCCAAAAAATTTGAAGCTAGGGTTTAAGGTCTTCGATTTATATAGTATTTTCTGAAAGAATAATAATAATCAGAAATAAAAACAAAAAAAACTCCGGAGGTTTTTGGAGGTTGAAGAAGATCGAAAGGATGATGGGCTTACAGTTTTGGGGGCTGCGCTTAAACCCTAGTAGTCCAAAGGCCTTATTTCATAGGTCCATTTATATTACTTGGCGCCGATAGATCTCAGCCCACCGCCTTGATTTCATTCAATCTCAGCCGTTCAAAAACTTTGACCTCACACTTCGAACTTTTTTTTTTTTTTTAAGTTAGGGGTGTTTGGGATTACTTTTAAACATTAAAATTTCTTTTTGGAGAGGACTTTTTGCAAAATGAGCTCTTTAAAATGTGTTTGCATTAGCAAAATGACTTTTATGTTAACTTTTACATGTAAAGTCACAAAAAATCAGGTTTTTGTGATTTTTTGAAACCCTTTATTTTCTTCTATGCAAAAGTTATTTTCAAAAGAACTTTTCTATTATCCAAACACCTTTTGTATTTTTTTTTACTTTTTGAAAAAATTAGAAGGCAAAAATCATTCTAAAAATAACCCCAGACATCCCCTTAGACTAGAGGGAGTGGGTGCGGTCTAGGCCGCACTCCACCCACCACATCATCACGCACACCGCCTACTGGGTGCGGTCCAGGCCGCACTGCAGCCTTCCAGGGTGCACTCCCCTTTCTCTCTCCTCTTTTACTTGTTCTCTTTCTCTCTCCTCTCTCAACCAATCATCTTTCTTTCTTTTTCTTTTTTTCTCTCTCCTAACCGTTTTCCCACTCTCATCTTATGGTTTCAAATTGATAAAATGAGAAAAAATTATGAGTTGACATCTACGTAGCATAGGAGGGAGTGCGGTTTCAGTGGCACCACTCCCTCCAGCCTTAGTATATGTTAATGACTTTATTGTTAGAAAGAAATTTTTAGCCAAATAAGTTAGACTTGTATTTTTTAAGTTTTAATCATTTAAAAAGAATGTTGAATTATAAAGTGAAAGAGTTCAAAGGTCTAACGAAGGATTTGTTTATAAATTACTAATTAGCATACTCATAGGAATCTAATTATTGTTTTGATTCATTCACTTGAAATAAAATGTTTTTTAATTTATATATCTTTAATTTTAATTGAAAAAAGAATCATAATAAATGTATAAAAGTCCGAAGCACATTTTTAAGTGCATTGATCAAAAATACAAGTAGAAATATCAACTCCCATAAACAATTTGCCTCAATGAAATAACTTCTTATATTATAAGGTTTTTGTTTGTAACATAAGATCATATTTCACTTGACTAGGCACGAAGATACTATACTGGTTTGTAACGGGTTAAAGGGACATAACTAGATCTAAATCTATTTACGGTGATGAAGATAAAGAAAACATTCAATTCTTTTAAACGGAGATCGAGAATGAATCAATGTCCTATATTACTATACATATTTCTAATAGCACAAAAAGTCGGAATATGTATCATAAATATTGATTTTTGTTTCGGTCCAATTCATGTCAATCACAATACATGTTATTTTTTTTTTAGTCATGTGTGACAAATCAAGCCAAGGGTTTGTAGGCCTAACCATGAGAAATACTAGGTATGATGTATATGTTTCTGGTTATGTATTGATGGTGATATTAATATTAAAGTCTCTTGGAGCCAATCGGTTGCCTGAAGCTTGACATGATGAAGGCGCTCGATGAGATGTAAGGTCGTTTAAGGAAAGTAAATACATTATCATGCAATTAATGTGTTACTTTATTCAGCAAAACATTATATTGTTGCTATAATGGATTGATAGCTTGCTCGTGTGTTTAGGTGCATGTTTATCTTATGTGTCATGATCAATTTATGTGTGTTTTCGGATTCTCATATGTCAACAACGATGATTATATTTTTAAATTGCAATCAAATCACATTAACATATATGACATATTAAGTATGTATTATCGTTGCATTGGATTTTTTTTGTGAAACAATACCTAATTCTGCAATCAAGAGTTTAAGGAGTCTAAATGTATTAGGAGAAAACTCTTTCTATTGGGGGTCGGTTGACTTTGTTGAAGTAAGTTCTTGGCTCTTTACCGATTTATTATGTGTCTTTGTTAAATGCAATGTTGCAATTGGTGTTTTGAATAAGTTAGAGTTCTTTAGAAGCAAGTTATTCTTAGGTGCGGGGATGGAAGAAAATAAAATGTATTGGGTGAGTTGAGAGAAAGTGATGACTTTTAAAAAGAAGGGTGATCTTGGAGTTAGTAGTTTTTTTGCGCTTAATGGATCGCTTGTGTTTAAATGGATCCGGGGATTTCAGGCTAATCAGGATGCTCTATGGGTTCGGGTGGTAAAGTCGATTCTTGATGTGCATGGTTTTCTTAGTCGTGTTCCTCCGGGTCATAAACTTCTACATGTATTCACATTATCGATGCTACTACTTATCTTCGGGAGAATGGAGTTGACCTTATGTCTTTTGTAAAAAGAAAGTCGATAACGGTGTTTCTACTCTTTAAATAGCAGGTATAGCTTGGTGATGAGACTTTTAGATATAAGTTTCCAAGATTGTATGCTTTATTACAAGCAAGTTTTCAATGTGTTGTGGGATGAAAGGGTTAGAAACAAGAAGAGGCAGAAATTTTGATGTAACAGTGATGTTACAAGTGGGTTGGGAGGGATCGACTCCACCATTAGGTGTGAACAGAGTCGCATAATTTTCTCAACGGGTTAAGGGTTGTATATCCGGCTACACCGCCCTGTTGTTGGGTTGTACAACCAAATTCTTAAATGTTTATTTTTAAAAAGGAAATAGATAAATAAGTTGAATGGTTAAAAAAATATTAAAATGAGTTTCCACGTGTTGTAGTTAGGACGGATGAAAAAAAAGAGAAAAATTGTTGTCACAGTTATGTGAATTGAGAATAATGAAAGAAGCAGATTCACCTTAAGAGATATCTAAGACAACAAAGTTTAAGTCAAGTTATAAAGTCATTTACACCATGAAGACATGAATACAAACACAAAGGATTACAATTACTTGAAGATACAAAAGAAGCATTTGGTGTTGAAAGTACAAATTAACATAATGGAATTATTCTTATAACTTGGTATATTTGGTCTACAAAAGACATTCACGTCTTGCCAATGTTGACAATAACTTATTATAAACATTGTACGCACCTTCCTCTTCATTTAATATTTGCATGTCTTTCCTCACGCATATTTAGAGCATCCACAATGGCGAGTTCAATAGAGGAGTTGAATGAGGTGGCACGTCTAGTTATCATTCACTATAGTAAACTATATCATAGTTAGATGTCATCTTGGCATTCAATGGATTTGGAGTTCAACGGCCATCGAACTTTTCAATGAGAAAAATGAAAGTTTTTTATTGTTAAAACTATACTATAAATTATCTTTTGTAATGTTCTATTGAACTTTGTAGAGGTTGAGGGTAAGGGACGTATCAAAGGCATAATGTCCTTTAAATATGATCTGTAGCACCCGATTCCTGATACGTATTTAAATTCAAGAATTTCATGTATTTCCTCTGGGACTCGACGAGTTGGTGGCCCAACTCGTCGAGTAAAGTCGTGATTCGCGGGAAGTTTAAGTGGCCTACTCGAGGAGTCGGGAGACCGACTCGGCGAGTAGGTGCTGTTTGAGTGAAACCCTAAATTTGAGGGTTTGCACCCTATTTAAACAATTTATCTCAACCTCCATCGTCCCTATTACTCCCAGAAAACATTATCTCGAAACCCTAGCCGTTATTAGTGTGTTTGTGAGCCTTGAGGTGTTACTTTGGGTGTTTGAAGCTTGAAAAGAAGGAGGAGGCTTGTGAGATCAAGGGGGAATCAGGAAGATCCAGAGCTTTGGGGCACATTTCCAGCTTATTGGAGGTATAAAGCTGAAC